GGCGGAGGCAAACGTTCCAAAGAGCCTGTTCAAAAACACAGCGCCTTATGTAACCCGGCCCGGAGGGCTCCCTGCGCGCTCTCCCGCCGCCGAAGGCCGGGCCACCCCAAGCCCCCGACACCCTGCCAGCCCGGCGCGGCACTCTGCAGCCCACTTCCCCCCCCCCAAGAAGCCTGCGTGCGGAGGGAGGGGGCTTCAGGGCAAGAGCGGCCTCCAGGGGAGGGGAGGGGGCAGGCATTTAATTTAATTTAACCCCCCCAACACACTGCAGAGGGGGCGGTGGCGGCAGGCATAGCAACCAAGGCCGGCTTGCCTCCGGCGTCGCCGCTCGCCTGGCGCAACAGCCCGCCTGGGTGCACCCAAACTTGTTCCGCTCGGCTCCCCCGCGGGCGGGCGGCTTGCAAGGGCTCTCTTTCTCACGCGCGCGCCCACCGGGATGGGGGTGGGGGTGGAGAGGTTGCAATGCACCAGCTGCCCAGCCCCCGCCACCGGATACTTCTCACCCCGATGCCCATCACCGCCCGGCGCCCGCCCAGCCAGGCCGGCGGCGGCAGGAGCAGCAGCCGCCCCTCCACGCCCCCGGCGCCGAGGAAGAGGAGGAGGGTTTTTGCAGGGGGGAGCGAATGGGGGAGGCTGTGCAATGGGGGGGGAGCAGAAAGGCTGGCCGCAGGGGTCGGGGGGGAGAGCGCCTCTGGTTTCCGGCGCTGCAAGGGGACCGCGCGCCTGGCCGCCTGCGCCCTTGCAAGGGGGCGACGGATGAGACCGGGAGGGGAGGAAGGGGGGGCTCCTGGACGGCCGGCGGAGAGACCCGGAAACCTCCAGGAAGTGGGGGGGCCAGGCGGAGGATTGCACACACACATACACACCCCGGCTGAGCAGCCGCCGCCACCGCCTCCTCCGGGGCGCGCGGTCGAACCCAAGCCAGGCAGCCAGTCCGGAGAGCGTGCCTTGCTGGCTTTCTGATGGAAGAGGCGGCCCAAGCCAGCCCCAGACGCCCGGCCTGCCGGCTTCGGGAAAGGGCCGCCGGGCGATGCGCGGATGGGCCCGGGCGCCTCTGCCCCCTTCGGAGGGATTTCCCTGCTGCCCAGCGCCCCCCTTTCCCCTCCCGGACCAGCTTTCCTTTCTCTCCTGCCCGGCTCTCCCCCGCTCTCTCGTTTTAGCCTCACAACAGCCCTGCGAGGTAGGTGAGGCTGAGATAGAAAGACTGGCCTCAGGCCAGGCAGGGAGGCTTGTGGGGAACAGAGTGCCCAAGACTAGCGGGCACTCACTCTGAACACTGCGCCACATCCGGTGTTGGGCCTGTGTGCTGTGCTGGTGCTGTAACATCTCACGAGCCAGTTTCAGAGCAGGGCAGCCTGTGTCGGTCTGCAGTAGAAGCGTCCAGCGGCACCCTTCGAAAGTAACAGGACTTTCTTAGTATTTTGTTGGAGGGAGCGTTGGCTGGAAAGCTCAGATCCTCAGAAATCTTGTTGGCCTCTTAAGTCACTGGTGGTGGGAAGGGCCATCAGTTTGCAGCAGACTTATGGCAACATGTTCAGAGGTGGTTTGCCCTTGCCTGCCTCTGCCCTGGACTTCCTTGGTGGTCTCCCATCCAAGTACCAACCAGGGCCGATCCTGCTTAGTTTCCGAGATCTGGTGAGGTCGGGCTAGGCCGCGCCATCCAGGTCAGGGCAAGACAGAAAGAGTAGTTTGTCATTTGTCTGGAGCACTCATGTTCTGTCTTCTTGGAGCTTGGGGGGCAACAGTGGGAGGGCTTCTGGAGTTCTGGCCTCAGTGGTGGACCTCCTGATGGCACCTGGGTTTTGGCCCCTGTGTGACACAGAGTGTTGGACTGGATGGGCCATTGGCCCGATCCAATATGGCTTCTCTTGGGTTCTTATGTCTGGGGCAGTGGTGCTCTGTCTTCTTGGTGCTTGTGGTGCAAGAGTGGGGGGGGGCTTCTGGCATTCTGGCCCTGCTGGTGGGCCTCCTGGCGGCACCTGGGTTTTGGCCACTGTGTGACAGAGTGTTGGACTGAATGGTCCATTGGCCTGATCCAACATGGCTTCTTTTATGTTCTTATCTCCTTTTACCTGGCAATGTCGGGGATTGAACCAGGGGCCTTCTGCATGCGAAGGAGATGCTCTACCGCTGCTCCATTCCCCCATCCCCAGTTAAGGTGTTTGTGAAGCTAGTGTCCCTGTTCTGGGTCTGTAGGATCCAAGTCATTTGTTCTGCCTCCAGTCACTTTGCTCTGATTGGAAACCCAGCAGCTACCCTCGGAACCAGTTGCCATTTCCGGACGCTTTTCCAAGTTTGCCACCAGTGGTCGCCCGGAGCTGAATAGCCCAGGCTAGGCCAATCTGGCTAGATCTCAGATGCTCAGCAAGGTCAGCCCTGGTTTGTGCTTGGATGGGAGACCGCCGGTGAAGTCCAGGGTCGCTACACGGAGGCAAGCAATGGCGAACCAACTCTGAATGTCTCTTGCCTTGAAAACCCCTAGGGGGTTGTCATCAATGTTCCTTCTAATTTCCTGCTGTGATCTTAAAATAGGCACTGCAAGACTCTGTGCGGCTCCAGACTGCTGCTGAGCGGGGCTTCCTGCAACTTGACGGTACTTTCCTCCATCACTGGTGTGCATGACTGTAGTCCAATTTCCTGTGCCACTGCCCAAGCAGCCTTGTACATCTTTGTACCACTAATCTTTGCCACTACCAATGCACAAAGGAATACTCAAGGGAGATCCAGTTTGGTGTAGTGGTTAAGTTTTGAAGGCAGATATAACAAAGTAAAGATAAAGGTTCCCTTGCTCGAAAGCCAGTCGAATCCGACTCTAGGGTTGCGGTGCTCATCTCCGTTTCAAAGCTGAAGAGCCAGCGCTGTCCGAAGACGCTTCCGTGGTCATGTGGCCGGCGTAACTAAACACCAAGGGGCACGGAACGTTGTTACCTTCCCACTGAAGTGGTACCTATTTATCTACTTGCAATTTCTTGCTTTCGAATTGCTAGGTTGGCAGGAGCTGGAACTAGAGATGGGAGCTCACTCCATCATGCGGCACACTCGGGTCTCAAACTGCTGAACTACTGACGTTCCACAGCCTGCAGTTCAGCATCATAAGCACTTGAGCCACCGCAGCTCCTCTCATAACAAAGTATCATACTCTAATAGAACATGCAGATTCTCATATCATACAATCAAAACCGTTGAACATATGATTATTTTTGTTGTTCAGTCGCACAGTCGAGTCTGACTCTTCGCGACCCCATGGACCAGATCACTCCATATGATTATGGAGTGCCCTATATTCGATGAATTGAGGGCTAATTTAGTCATTCCTTTATTTAAAGATACGGAACTGCTAAATGTGCGAGCCCAGGTGTCACGGCTACTATTGGAGACCAATGATCGTGTCGCCCTCTCAGTGGCAAAATTCATAGGCGCAATAATCAAATATAAGAGAAAAAATACTGAGTAAGGTCTATTAAAATATTTTCTTTGGTTCTAATTTCTGCTTAAGGTGATAACCGTATGAACAGTGATAGATTAGATAGATGGATGTTAA